TGCTACTGAAAACACTTATATTTAGAAGCTTTAATTTGACCTGGGGAAATGAGTTCTCTTAAAACCTGACAAACAGTATAAGCCCCAAAGATTTTTTTTTTTTGCGGTATGCGGGCCTCTCACTGCTGTGGCCTCTCCCGTCGCGGAGCACAGGGCCCAGATGCGCAGGCCCAGCGGCCATGGCTCACGGGCCCAGCCGCTCCGCGGCACGCGGGATCCTCCCAGACCGGGGCACGAACCCATGTCCCCCGCATCGGCAGGCGGACTCTCAACCACTGTGCCACCAGGGAAGCCCAGCCCCAAAGATTTTAAATCAAATAGGTCTTCCAACACAGAAGCATTCATAGGAAACTTTTAGTTTCTCAAAAAATAAAAAATTAAAATCAAAAAAATCACTTGTTATCTGAAGAAAAGAGTATTAAAACAAATTATCTTAAGACAAACACTCTTAAAAAAGGCTGTATTTTCTATCATTTTCTCCTTAAAAGGAACACAAACCAGTTCACTATCTTTTAATAACTTAGACTACTGTAATCTAAAAACTTTAGAAACATGAAACACATGTCTTAGCTATCAAAGGTACCATTTAGATTTCACATATTAAACAGCCACAGTACAGCCTACAATGGCACAAAATCAGAAGGAACTGAATGGTTTGCAAGGTACTTTGACTTACATGTGGTCATTAAAATCCAGTAAGTAATTCAAAGTATGGTAATATAATGGGAGGCAATTAAAGGCTCAAATATCACTCTAAAATTGAAGACATGTAAATAAAGACTGAAAACTTTGTGGTTCTCTATCTTTCATTCACATGGCTAGATATCAGAACCTTACTGTGAAAAATATAGTTATTAAATATGGTTTCCCCAGAAAATAATGAAGCTTCAGAAAGTACAAAAGGTGTCAAGATCCATAGTTTGCTTCATCAAATGCTTTTCTAGCTCGTTTCAATTCTTCATTCATAGTAAGCAAGTCTTTAACCCTAGCAAACTTTCTTGGGTCCTTTCGAATCAAGAAGACGATATCTTCAACTTGTACCCGACCTTGTCTTCCAATTGACATTGCCTTGTGAGTCTATTACAAAAAAACATTAAATTCAATTAATTTTGAAAAAAATCTAACATTTTATTCTTTTAACTTGTGTCTATTTAATGCTGGTGAGTTTGAAACTTTCTCTTCTAATTATTATAGCTAGTCACTTATGAACTGTCTTTCTATTAATGTCCTTTGTCCACTTTCTACCGTTATTAGCAATGTTTCAATGCTTTATAGACAAATTTTAATATTAAAGACATTAAAACTCAAATTCATTGATTTAAAAAAAAATTTTTTTTACATCTTTATTAGAGTGTAATTGCTTTACAATGTTGTGTTAGTTTCTGCTATTTAACAAAGTGAATCAGCTATACGTATACATATACCCCCATATCCCCTCCCTCTTGCGTCTCCCTCCCACCTTCCCTATCCCACCCCTGTAGGTGGTCACAAAGCATTGAGTTGATCTCCCTGTGTCATGCAGCTGCTTCCCACTAGCTATCTATTTTACATTTGGTAGTGTATATACGTGAATGCTACTCTCTCACTTCGTCCCAGCTTACCCTTCCCTCCCCTCCCGTGTCCTCAAATCCATTCTCTACATCTGCGTCTTTATTCGTATCCTACCCCTGGGTTCATCAGAACCTTTTTTTTTTTTTAGATTCCATATATATGTGTTAGCATATGGTATTTGTTTATCTCTTTCTGATTTACTTCACTCCGTATGAGACTCTAGGTCCATCCACCTCACTACAAAGAACTCAATTTCATTTCTTTTTATGGCTGAGTAATATTCCATTGTATATGTGTGCCACATCTTCTTTATCCATTCGCACTGATGTTTCTTTCTGTGTGTTTTGATATATGTAGTTTGTCTTCATTTGCATAAAATAATTTTATAATTTCTTTGTAACCACCCACTTCATTTAAACTTTGTGTCCATTTCAGTAGCTGATAAATATTGGTGGGTTTCCTTAAAATCAAATCTCATCCCCTACCATTACATATTCATACTGCAAAAACAAAAATTCATCACAGCATTATTTCTAAAGACTGAAAAAGGGAAATTAAATATTTAATAAATTGAACCAATTTGAGCATACCTAGTCAATTAATATTGTGAAGCCATCAAAAATATTAATTATGCGGTGACACAGGGAAAATGTTGTAGACTTACCTAAGTGAAAAAGCAGGTTCTACGACTATATATATGATTTCAATTTTATAAAGTTTAAAAATATGTGTAAAAAGACAAAAGAATATTCACCAAAATCTCAGCATTAGTTATCTCTAGGTAGAAGGATTACAGATTTTTATTTTTTCCCTTGCACTCTTTAATGCTTTCTAAATTTAGTCAATATTACTTTCATAAGCAGAAAAAGATTTTTAAAAATGCACTCTCTGACCCAGTAATTTTACTTCTATTATTCTTTACGAAGGAAATAATCCAAAACACAGGGTAAAAATTCATAAGAACTGAACGCAAACAAACTCAGTATTCCCATCCCTGCAAACATATCCAAAGAAGGGGGAAATTTCATGAATATGGTCATTCAAACTTATCTACTCAGTTAAAAATAATATGTAAATAATTTCAATAGGGAAATGGTTAAGTATATTAGAAAATAATTTGAATGAATTTTATGCAGCTACTAAAATAATTGTGATTAGAACATATGAAATATGTATTAAAAACTGAATAAAAAGAATGTTTACTATGATCAACACTATGTAAAACACTGTATATCTTTACATAAATACTGGAAGAGGGAAATTTATGTTGGATGATGGGATTATGGGTAATATTTTACATTTTATTCAAGGATCTTATAATTATGTCCTTATAAATAAAATTCAGAGGAGGGGGTAGAATATATTGTGTGTGTGTGTGTGTGGGTGTTTGTGTATGTGTGTGTGGGTGTTTGTGTGTGTGTATACACCCACACACACTTATCTCTCTCTATCCTTAATGATAAATAGTAACCAGTAACTTCCATAAAACAGGCATTCAAATGGCACTCAAGCTTATTTCAAAGGATGCCATAGTTCTAGTCTTATCTAAAAGTTAGAATTTCAAATCTATTCCTTAATTAACTAAGACCAATTACAAAAAAAACTTACCATTTCAGTGATGAACTCTATGACAAGGTCTTCAAGAATATCTACTGACTCAGTATAAGGATTCTGGTCATCCCCAAACCCATACATCATACACCGTACTGTAAAAAGAACAATCATTTTTGTTTACACAAACTTGACCAATACTTTTTCAAATTAGAACTGAACTAAACTATAGAAGATATTGGTATGAAAGTATATTTACATTGTATTTCTTGTCTCCAAGTATGGATTTTGGTTTAAAAGGTATTAACCCCTAGTACATAACCAACTGTTCTTACCTAGCCTTCCCTAGGTAGGAACTCCCCTTCCCTCCCAGCTACTAAACCCTGATACCAATATTCCTTCCCTAATCTCTATTATCTACTCACCAACAACCCCAGAATGCCTTTAAGTAGGAAACTTCGTAGCAGGAACAGGATGAGCAGCAATGGTTTAGCCTTTACTGGGAGTGTTTTCAGGGGGTGAGGGGGAGGTCTTGGAAAAAAGAAGGCAAAATCCTTTCTGATACTACCATAAGGAAGAGGACATGAGAGAAAGTGCTCCAACTACCTTCTTATAGGAAGAACAGGTTAATCAAAAGGAGAAAGCAAAGGGCTTACTATACAGAATCTTGACATTTTATTCCCTGGATCAAAGCAACTGTCAGCAAAGCCCTCAGTCTTCATCTGAAGGAACCATAGAAAATGCAAAAGAGAAGAAAAGTCTACAGAATAATGAAAATAACTGCTAATAGCTAAAACTTATATAGCCCTTACTACATGCCAGGCACTGTTGTAAGCTCACTTAATCCTCAGGACAATCCTCTGAAGTAGAAACTACTATTATCCCCATTTTACATAGATGAGAAAATTGAGGCATAGAGTTTACGTGATTTACCCAAGGTCACACAGATAGTGAGATGGAACTTGAATTTGAACCCAGATGATCTGGCACCAGAGTCTATACTCCTACCCACAACAGTATTACACTTCTTGGTAATTTAGGGCAGATGGGATCCATATGGATTCTTATGCTATAGCCTATAAACTCCTAATCAGTCCATGGACAAGTTTTGAGAAGTCCTGGAACCCTATTGAAATTATATGTAAAAATTTTATACCTTATTTGTGTGTGCATTTTTCTGGAAGAAGAATCAACTCTTAGCAGATTCTCAAAGGGTATATAAATACTAAGAAACCCTGTCATATGTTAGACATGTTTTGTATCTTGATCTGACTGGTGGTTACAAGTATATGTATATATGGAAAATTCATCAAGCTGTTCAATGAAGACTAGTGCAATTTATTGTATTTAAGTTTTACATTTTAAAAAAAGGAACGGGTCTTCCCTGGTGGTGCAGTGGTTGGGAGTCCGCCTGCCGATGCAGGGGACATGGGTTCGTTCCCCGGTCCAGGAAGATCCCACATGCCGCAGAGTGGCTGGGCCTGTGAGCCATGGCCGCTGAGCCTGCACGTCCGGAGCCTGTGCTCCACAATGGGAGAGGCCACAACAGTGAGAGGCCTGCGTACCGCAAAAAAAAATAAAAATAAATAAATAAATAAATAAATGGAACGAACTCCTAGAACACTTCTAAAAGTACAAATGAGTACGTTAAGAATAATTTCTATTTAGGAGAAGCAAAAGCAGGCAGAACTAAGAAGACAGTAGACCAGGCGTGCGGAAGAAAAGAAACGGGTGACCTGGAAGCCAGACTAGGATACAGAAGCACCCCTAGGGTTTATTCTGGCAGGAGCTTTTAGGTCCAGATACAGGAAGGAGAAAACAAACACAGGAGCCAATATTTTCTCCCCTCTATCTTTTTTGGATTCTGAAATTTTTTTTGCTTTTTTTTTTTTTTTGCTGTATGCGGGCCTCTCACTGTTGTGGCCTCTCCCATTGCGGAGCACAGGCTCCGGATGCGCAGGCTCCGCGGCATGTGGGATCCTCCCGGACCGGGGCACGAACCCGCGTCCCCTGCATCGGCAGGCGGACTCTCAACCACTGCGCCCCCAGGGAAGCCCCTGCTTTTTTTTTTTTTGGTTTGTTTTTTTAGATAATTTCAGACTTAGAGAAGAGTTGCAAAAATAGCACAATGTTCCCGAATCCCTATATCCAGTTTCCCCTTATGTTAACATCTTACACAACCAAAGACATTTCTCAAAACTAAGAAATTAACACTGGTACAAATACATAACTTATTCAGATTGTACCAGTTTTTCCACTAGTGTACCTTTTCTGTTTCAGGATCCCACAATATTTAGTTGTCACGCCTCCCTAGTTTCCTCTGTTCTGTGACAGTTCCTCAGACTTTCCTTGTCTTTTTTTTTTAAATTTATCTATTTATTTATTTGTTTTTGGCTGCATTGGGTTTTCGTTGCTGCACACGGGCTTTCTCTAGTTGTGGTGAGCGGGGGTCACTGTTTGTTGTGGCGCACAGGCTTCTCATTGCAGTGGCTTCTCTTGTTGAGGAGCACAGGCTCTAGGCGTGCGGGCTTCAGTAGTTATGGCTCGCGGGCCCTAGAGCGCAGGCTCAGTAGTTGTGGCGCATGGGCTTAGTTGCTCTGCGGCATGTGGGATCTTCCCAAACCAGGGCTCGAACCCGTGTCTCCTGCATTACCAGGTGGATTCTTAACCACTGTGCTACCAGGGAAGCCCTTCCTTGTCTTTTATAACCTTGACACTTCTGAAGAATACTGGTCAGTTATCTTGTAGAATGTCCATCAATTTGGGTTTGTCTGATGTTTTCTCATGATTAGGTTGTGGTTATGCATTACTAGAAAGGGAATACAGTGATGATGTACCTCTTAATGCATTATATCAGGGGTATGTAATGTCAACATATATTACTGGTGATCTTATTAACTTTGATCACTTGGCTAAAGTAATGTCTGCCAGGATTCTCCACTGTAAACGTAATATTTTTCCTTAAATATTTTGAGGGAGATACCTTGTCATTAACATTCTGATGGGGAGAATTCATCAGTAGGGAAATATACTTCACTGGCAAAGCAAAAACATATTAGACAGGAAGTATGTGAACTGCATTTGGTTAAAGGGTCTGTAAAGACATAAACAGAAGTGAATGCTTTGAAATTTTGTGTTATATTAGCAAAAAATTTTTTTAAAAAAGAAGGTCTAGGAGAACAGATCTTGGTCAGTAAGTCATAGGAAGATTCAGGTAAGACAAGGAAAAGGCTGTGAAGATTCCAAATTCTTGTCATCACTCTGGGATGCTCTGGTGTAGGAATCCCCTTCTTATGCCGACTTAGGTAAAACCACGTACAAATGGAGTAAATAACATCAGAGATGGAATAAGTAGTGGTCAACTTAAGGTGAGAAATTGAGATATAGGAAGGGATTTGAATGGCAAAAAAAACCCCCACATATTGACTCTGTAGTTTAAAGAGCATTTGGGAACTGCTTACATCGGAACCAGCATAAATAAGTCAGGTGATGTGTCGCCTTATCAGGACTGGGAGATGGAGAGCACTTTCTCACGGTGCCTTTCAGGGGCTGGCCTTGAGCATCAGTAGTAGCAGCAGCTCTCCTTGCTGCTGCCACAAAAGGTCTACTGAGGGAACAGACTAGACAACCAAAACCTTATAATCTCTATGCCACTGGACTGCCTCACATTGTTCATCATCTTCCTGCCTTGTCCATTGCCTTAGTCCAAAGCCCCAACTTAATTCCTACCCTCAGCACCTGTTCCAGGATCCAAAAAAACCTTCGGCTTACAGTCAAAGGAGTCCCTGCTCCTACTGCTGAAAGGTAAGGGACAGGGGAGGTAACGGAGGTATGTCCTTAGGCCCTGAATTGAAACACTGATCACATTTCTTTACTTAAAAAAAAAAAAAGTATGGGTGTGTGTGTGTGTGCGTGTGTGTGTATACACGCATATATATAAATACATAAATTGGGGTTAGGATTATTACTATCTGTGATTCACAGGTTAAACAGAATTTATGCACAAGTCTGAGAATATTGTCCCTACAAGGAAACACATTCAGAACAATAAATCTACTTTGAACCAACAGACCCAGAAGTTTTTATCTATAAAAAATCATTGTCAAATACTACTTACATTCTTTAGAAAAAAGTCTCTTTCTTTTACCCTGTCCACCTTCTGCACCTCCTCCAATTTCTTCATTTTCTTCCTCAAACTAGAAGTTAAAATGTATATATAGATACGTCAAGCACTGCTTTTGACTTTTTAATAATTAACATTTTTTTCCATTTTCAACACTGATATCATGCCAGAAAGCCTAAATAAAGCAAGCAGCAAAAACCATGAAACCTTATTATTTTAGGCGCCTTACAACTATCCTGTCCAACTTCAGACTCACACAGGAATGGCTTCTACAATGTCCGCAACAACTGTACTGCCTCTCCTGGAACAGTTCCAACGACCATACATTCTTTTTTTTAACCAACAAAGTTGGCCTATTTCTAGACAGTTTTACTATTAAAAGAGTTGATATTGAATAAAAGTAAGCAAAACTAGTATTTACTAAGCACTGCTTACACAGCGCTAAGAACTTTCCTCAAGTAAGACTTATGCCTATTTTATGACATGAAAACCGAGGCTCAAAGTTAAATAACTTTGCTCTCAGAGAACAGAGGTTTTGAAACCCATGTTCCCTGACTTTGAGTCCATTATTTTTCCACTACTTTACAATAAGTATATAGTTTTGTTAGAAGTTGAATTGTTGGTTCATAATGAGGGCTATAACAAATACTAGCTCTGTCCTCTGATGATTCTCTAGGTGTTTCAAAGGGTGTCTGGCAAATATGGACCAAAAGCAAAGGGCAGGGGACCACCCTCCTACTCTTCCTGCCCCGTGTCCTACGACTAATCGGAAGAAAAGCCTAACACGGGGTGAAGTCCCCGATTCTCTCGGCTGAATTCACTAAGGAAAACAAACCCGATTCTCGGCCTCCGCTACGGTGCCCGAGGGAGTGAATAAAAAAGTGGGTTGGAACAGAGGTGATCACTCACCGTGGGGTCTTCTTCTTCATCTGCCATCCCAGCAGCCAGCCACGTCCAAGGCGCGCCCGCCTCCCATGGAGCGGGTTTTACTACTTCCGCGGCCTCACTTCCGGTGACGCGAGGAGGCGGGCGGGGCCTAGTTGGAACCCCGCCTGCGGAAGTAGAGCGTGCGCGTCTCGCCCGGCGGTGGAACCACAACGGTACTAAAGGAGGGAAGGGTGACGTCTTGGCAAGAAGGAATTAAAAATTAGCAACGAAAAGGAAATCACTGGCTAGGTGCCGTGTATCTCGCTGTCTCCTTGAACTTGCTTCTGTGTATCAGATCACCGCTTCCTTATTCGGGACTGCGAAGCTTTGGATCATTGAGGGGCTAGCCAGGGGTGTATTTAAACAATTTCAACAACTTAAGAGTTCCACTATGATTTATTGCCAAGCTTATTCGTTATTGGGGATATTGTACTTCGTTACCAGTTCTCAAGGGAATGTTATCTCCCCTTAGACTGAGGATTTAATCTTTGTGGGTTTGTTTGTTGTTTTTTTAATCAGAACAGTGCTTGGGAAAACCAGGGACATTAGAAGGCTAAAGCTAGGGATATAAGGTGTTCTGCAATGCAAGAGATGATGTCACACAGGGAATGATTGTTCCACAATACACTATTTCTGAATGTCCTGCTAAACATTCCTGTGAGTGAAAAATCTGTTCATAATTAGCTGGGCCTAGAACATAACTTTGTTAACATATAAACACAAAGCATTTTCCTATGCTTTTAAGGTACAGTGAATTTTCTAGGAATGCAACTGTGAGATAGTAGAAAGTATATGTATTGGTCTCTGCTCATCCACCCCACCCCTCTTCCTGGCACAGAGCTCCTAAAACCCTTGTAATTTGCTAAGTGATAAGAGCACTAGGGCGTCTTTTGTTCTAATGAGGCAACTCTGGGTGGGCTCCTGGATGGCTCCTGGCTGGGGGCTGGTCACCAGAAAAACCAAGCCACGATTAGAAGCTTGGAATTTTCAGCCCTCTCCGGAGCGGGGAGAGGAACTAGAAATGGAGTTAGTAATTTATCATGCCTATACAAGGCATAACAATTGCCTTGTATTGCCTACTAATTCCAATAGTAGGAGGTTCAGAGAGCGTTCAGGTTGGGGGGCACATCCACTTACCTGGAGGGTGATGCACCCCCAACTTCATGGAGGCAGAAGCTCTGTGCTCAGGATCCTCTCAGACCTTGCCCTATGTGTCTCTTCATCTGCATCCTTTACCATACCCTTTAATAAACTGGTAAACGTGTTTCCCTGCGTTTTGTGAGTTGTTCTAGGAAATAACCAAATCCAAGGAGGAGGAGGTCATGGAAACCTCTGAATTTTAGCCAAGTCAGACAGAAGTTGTGGGTAACCTGGGGACCTACTACTTTCGATTGGCATCTAAAGTTGAGAGCAGTCTTGCGGGACTGAGCCTTTGATCAGTGGGATCTAACACTATCTCCAGGTAAATAGCGTCAGTATTGAGTTAAATTGCAGGACACTCAGCTGGTGTCACAGAATTGTTTGGTGTGGAGGGGGGGAGGGGGGACCCACATATTTGGTCATGAGAAGTGTCATAAGTGAAGTGTTCAGTGTGAAAGTAAAGGAGAAAGACACGGGAAGGAAAAAGCTGAGAGTTTTCCCCCAAACAGTAACTACCCTGAAATTGGAGAGATATAGTACTGTTTTATTTGCAACTTACCAAGAGCTGTGAAACATCTCAGGAAACAATGTCATGAAAGGCTTTCATGAATGTCATGAAAGGCTGTATCAGTTGTTTGGATAGCCAAAACTCACTGGAATCAGTCTGCATTTTCACTCCTGCATTCATGGTGCAAGCATATACATATGTTTGCATATACATATAGGTGCAAGCATCTGAAATCATTATACCCCCTAGTGTAGTCATACCTGAGCATTTACATATTGAAACACATATTATTATAATTTACTGTCTTTATTTTACTTTACATTATAGTTAGGACATTATATTTTATAGTTACGTGGGTACTTAGGTTAGTTATTTATTACTGTGAAACAAATTATCCCAAAACTTAGTGGTTTAAAACAATGAACATTTATCACACAGTTTCTGTGTGGAATCTGGGCACAGTTTAGCTGGATGCCTCTGGCTCAAGGTCCCTTATGTTGCAGTCAGGGTGTTGGTTGGGCCTCAGTCTGATCTGAAGTATTGATGGGGAAGGTCCGCTTCCAAAATCACTCACGTTGTTGTCAGCAGGATTCAGCTACTTCAGGTTGTTACATTAAGGGCCTCAGTTCTTCACTGGCTATTGTCAGAGGCCTCCCTCCATTCCTTGCCATGTCAACTTCCTAGGGCAGCTGGCTTCTCTCAGAGCAGGTGAGGAAGAGAACCAGGAAGAACACCCAAGAACACAGTTTTTTTGGTAACCTAACCTTGGAAGTGACATCCCATCATTTTTGCCCTATGCTATTCACTAGCAATCAATAAATGCAGCCCACACTCAAGAAGAGGGGATTACACAAGGATGAGAATACCAGGAGGCAGACATCATTGGGGGCTATCTGAGAGGCTGCCTACCATAGTAGGTTATATTATTTGTGAATTTCATTTCAGAATAATAAAGGAGACATATTTATTATTTAAGGAGGTTTGTTGGGTCTGAAAGGGTTGAGAACTGCTATGTTAGGTAGTATTGAAACACTGGCCTTGTCCAGGGAATCAGGTATAAAATATTCACAGTGTCCATTATCAGGGGAATGGATAGGTAAAATGTGCTGGATGTACACCAAGGTGTACTATACAACAATCAGAAGCAATAGACTAGCAAAATGGATAGAGCTTAGAAACAAAGTGCTAAATTTAAAAAGTAAGAAATATGAGATCTATAACAAAAGACCGTTTATGTATATTAAACACATATACACAAAAAAATACATATTTTACAGGAACATATAAAAAAGGCATAGACATCAAATACATTAGGAAGGTTACAGGGTAGGAGACATAAGAATAGGGATAAAGAGAATGCATAAGATACACAACAAGTGAAGGACTTGGGAAGGGTCAGTTACAATAGTATGGCATGAACTATGGAGTGTGAATAATTCAACATTCTGAGCCTGAGATCCAAAATGTAAAGGGGAAAAAAAAAATGCAGTGTTGTGAGCAGAGCAGAAATAAAGCCCAGAGAGTGAAAAGTCATGGTGTGCTTCTAGAGGATGTTTCAGGTGGGTTGCCAGAGTCAAGTTTGTTGGGTGGAGATGCAGAAAATGAGGCTGGAATGAAACTGGAGTTTGAGTTTGTGAAAGGCCTTGAATATTCTCTTCAGAGACTGAACTTCATTCAAAGTGCAGAGTGCCTGGGAGGTCTTTAAGCAGAAGAGTCACATGACCCATCTTTAAAAAAAAAAAATCACTTCAGCAGGGAGACCACCTAGGATGAGAGCTGATTAGAACATGAATTAAGACGAAGGAATTTTAGGAGCAGAAATCACAGGACTTTGTGTCTGAATGAATCTGAGAGCTATGGAGAGAGAGGTTTATATCCAGATGGAATGCTATTAATATGAATTGGAAAGTAAAATGGAAAAGCAACTGGGGAGGGAAGGAAATGAGTTCAGTCTGAGTGTGAGAGTCTAGAGGTGTCCTGTAGACAGACAGATGGAGGTGCAGGTCTGGAAATCCAGAGAAATCAAGACTAGAGAAAATGGCATGGAAGACATCAACGCGGGGGCAATAGTTTAAACACTGCACAGAAACAAAAGTGAGAGAAGGGAGGCAACGGTCAGATCCTCCAAAACAGTACATCATGGAACAGAGAGAGAAGAAATGGTCCAAGAGGCAGAAAAAGATAAAAGAAGAAAAATGAAGAGGAAGTGAGGGAGGAGGAAGGGAAGGATATACAGTTGACTCTTGAACAACACAGGTTTGAACTGTGTAGGTCCACTTATATATGGATTTTTCTCAATAAATACCTACTACAATAAGTTACTTTTCAGCATTACCTTCATGAACTCTATAATCCAGTTCCACAAGGCCACTTTCAATTATTCATGCAACAAATATTTATCAAGCACCTGAACAGCACTTACTATGGGACTGTTGATAAAATGATAACATAAATACACAGTTCAGGGTTCGTGAACCTTACAATGTAGCAGGGAGACATGAATAAAATAGATATTGTATGCTTTGGAAGATTATGATGGGAAAGGGGACCCAAGAAGGTCAGAGAAGACTTCCTTGTGCAAATAACATTTGAGCTGAGAGCTGAGAGATGAATGGAGTTAGGCAGTGAAAGAGGAAGGAGAAAGTGGGCTGTGCCCCAAACTTATACCATCCTCAAGCCTATGGTGACACTACTCCTTTCCCACTAGGATACCTTTCTTTTCTGTTGAAATGCTACATGCCTTTCAGGCCCAGCTAACATGTCTGCCCCTCCATCAAGCATTACCTGAGTGCTCCAGCTGATTCTCTCTTATTCTCACTGTTGTGGCCTCTCCCGTTGTGGAGCACAGGCTCCAGATGCACAGGCTCAGCGGCCATGGCTCACAGGCCCAGCTGCTCCGCGGCATGTGGGATCTTCCCAGACCAGGGCACGAACCCGTGTCCCTTGCATCGGCAGGCGGACACTCAACCACTGTGCCACCAGGGAAGCCCAGCACTTACTTTTCATTTTCCTTCAACACTTCTTTCTAATGTATTTTCTGATTACTTATACACACAGCTTGTCTCGTACACTAAATCTTAAAACTTACTAAGAAAAGAGTCTGTTTCTTATTCACCTTTCAGCTCCCAAAGGCTAGCACATTCCTCAGACTCCCGGAACAAATATTTGTAGCATAAATTAATGCTTGTTTGACATCCCTTTTCAAATATGTTGTAATTCAATGAAGCTATTGTTGCAAGCTGTGCCTTTGGGACTGAACTTACTCTTTGGTTAAACCACAATCCCATAGTCATGGTCCCCATGACTGATTAGTGTTTGCCACAGGGACTGCAACAACCCTAACAAACAGGCAACTGTTCTTGACTGACAGGCGTTTGGCAACAACTGCCCGTCCTTCAGTGGAGGCTGAAATGAACTGAGGAAGGACTGTCCGAATTGAGTCCCCATGCAGTGGGGCTCTATTTATCCCTTGCATTTGGGCTGTGAGAGACAGTGACCCAGGCTTTGGCGTGAGGCTTTAGGGCTTTTCAGGACAACAGAAACACTAATGCTTGGAACAAAATCGTCAAAGATCAATATCAGTGGACAGAATCCTAATTTGAGGCAGTGTGATAACAAGGGGAAGGGAGCTTTGAAGTCAGACAAACTAGCTCTGTGATCTCACCCATGTGCCTTCTTTGAGCCTCAGATTTCTCATCAAAAAACTATTCTGCAAAACAGTTGTGAAGATCAAAGATAATGTCTTTACACATACAATGCCTGTGCTCTACTAAAATGTGTTTATTCATCTATCTTCCCCAATATAGTTTGTACCCTGAGGTCAGGGACTCGTTTTTTGCCTCTACGCCTGCAAAATTTAGCAAAGTGTGTAAATATTTTATAAACAAATGAACAACAACAGTGATAGCTAAGATTTATGGAGCACTTACTTCATGCCAGATATTGTTGTAAATAGTAATTTATTTAATCCTTCAACAACCCTACAAAGGAGCAACCATTATGACTCAATTTTACAGAAAGAAAGCAAAATATAATTTTAAAAAATATGAAATTCTTGGTATAACTAATTTTGAAATAAAAATCTGGTGAGATTCACTTTAGTCAATAAAAAAGGTAAAAAAAAATTTTTTTTTTTTGCTTACAGCACCCGGCTCCCCTCGCCCTTGGCAGTGAAAGCGCAGAGTCCTAACCACCGGACTGCCAGGGAATTCCTGGTAAAATACATTTAAAACCTGGAAATGAAAAAATACAGTGGAAGGAGAAAGAAGGAAGGAAATAAATGTAAGAATGGGAAGAAAGAGTAGGAAGAAGAAAGAGAGATAGACACATGGAAAAAGAAGAAACAGTAAGATACTGTGAACTATCACTGTCCTTTGAAATAATAAGTAGACAACTAATTACTCTTCCCAGTTCTTCAACTGTGATTTCTTTATTCTTAAACTCTGAGAGTGACAGGGGACGAAAGGCTTATCTTTCAGAGCATGACACAATTGGAGTGGTTTCCATGCAGTGAAAAGACAAGGAGACAAAGTTATCTCCAAAAGAGGATGACATGAGCAAAATGTGAAAGCAAAGAGTACATTTGAAGAACACTGAACAGTGTTTTCACAGCTGAAGCTTGAAGTCTGCCTATGGGAACAGTGAAAAATTCTGCTGGAAGGCCTTGAATAGCAGGGTAAGGAGTTAGACATATGTTCAGCAGACAGTGGCTGCTGTTAAAGGAAACAGCAGTTGTGGTCTGGAGCAAAGTGTTCTAGTTCTGAGTTCAGAAGACCAGAATTATTGTTCAAGTCTGATACTGGTTAGTCCTTACCCTAAACCTTAGATTACCTCTAAAATAGGGGTGATGAGGCAGTTGTAAGGATTAAATAAGATATTATGACAAGGTGTGTTCACTTTAAAAAGTAAAAATGTTATAGAAAAGTAAGTTTTCACTGGACTTCCCCGGTGGCGCAGTGGTTAAGAATCCACCTGCCAGTGGTTGAGAGTCCACCTGCTGATGCAGGGGACACGGGTTCGTGCCCCGGTCCAGGTAGATCCCACATGCGGCGGAGCCGCTGAGCCTGTGCGTCCGGAGCCTGTGCTCCGCAACGGGAGAGGCCACAACAGTGAGAGGCCCGCGTACCGCAAAAAAAAAAAAAAAAAAGAATCCACCTGCTAATGCAGGGGACTCCAGTTCGATCCCTGGTCTGGGAAGATACCACTTCTGCAGAGCAACTAAGCCCGCGAGCCACAACTACTGAGCCTGCGCTCTAGAGCCCGTTCTCTGCAACGAGAAGCCACCGCAAGAAGGCCGCATACTGCAACGAACAGTAGCCACCCCCCCTCACTGCAACTAGAAAGAAAAGCCCCCACGCAGCAGCGAATACCCAATGCAACCAAAAAATAGAAGAAATTAAAAAATGAATAAATTGAGGCATAATTCAGTTTAAAAAAATAAGTTTTCACTGTTGTGAGGATTTAATTGATGCTTGAAGACTGAAATGGTAAAATTACTAAAGTGATGGATGTAGAAATGAAAAGGGGGCAATTGGAACAACACTTCAGAAAAAAAGGAGTTAATCGATTCGAAGATAATTTACAAATTCTAAATTCAGTGATCAGGGGGAAAGGACTATTAACCATAGAAACAGGGAAATCAGAAGGGGGTGAGTTTGGTTTTAAACATTTCAGATGTCAGAAGAACATCTGCAAGAAATGTAGGACTGGAGCTTGGGTAGGACATCAACTTAAGACCTCTGCACGGGGAATTCCCTGGCGGTCCAGTGGTTAGGACTCTGCCCTCTCACTGCGGAGGGCTCGGCCACTTCGCCAAAAACAAAACCAAAACAAAACTCTTCATAGAGGTGGTAGTTGAAACCATGGGACATAATAGGTCACCAAGTAAGGGTTAATAATGAGAAAAAGAGGGTGAGGGTATCTTAGGAACGTCTAAGTTTACGTGGAAAAGGAGCCTGGGTAAAGAGAACAACGAAGTGCGGGTCAGGGAGGATAGAACAGTTCCATAGTATGTAAGAAAGGAATTATTTTAGATGAAGATGAGCTACATGATTCAGTCTAAATTAGGGAACATGAATTTGTTTAGGACCTGGTTAGAGTAGCTTGGGGCTTTTATCCAGCTTTGGTGCAGGGAACTAACTGTTGCCAGTGATGATACTAGTGCTGATACTGTTTTAGATAACTATTGATGAAAAGTTCAAAGGCCAAGACAATTAGGGATTTTTTATTGTCTTGTTTTGTTTTTGAGTAGTCCTTAGCAGGGGGACTACTTTTGGGCAGGGGGATTCGTCTGTGTATGTATTTGCACACATTTATTTGCTTTGTCTTATTTTGTCCTGTATGTCTTCCCTGTTTTTGTTTGTTTGTTTCTGCATTTAAGCATATTTTCACAAGGAGTCTGTCCTGCATCAGACTTTTTGGCTTGCTTTTCTACTCCAGCTCCTGGGAGGCTTTGGTAGCTTTTCTTCTGCGTAACCAAGCAGGCTGCAGCCAGCAGATGGCACTATAGCACGAGGGGCAGAGGGTCCCTTTAGGACCTGACAACGTCTGCGGACGAGTAACTTTACAGTTTCAGCCTCGTACGACTCAGTTGCACTGTAGCCCGGACTCTAATAAAGCAGGTCAAGCTGTGTGCGATTAAGAATTTCAATGTACAAAATGGGATCTGCGGCTTTGTCTCCTCCATCCTGGGCCACCATTAAACTGAAGGTATCGTCAAGTTGTGAAAGTGTTGCGAGAAGGGCTGTCCCGATATCGCTGTTTCCTAGTTAAAGTGGCCGAGGTGACCCCACTTTAACTAAATACAGGAGTCAATCGAGACTATCCTGATAGTTTAAAGAAAAATTCATACAAATAGGCAATTACCTAAGCGTTTCTCGACAACGTGTAGCTTTAACATATGAAATTTGCGACTTGTTTTTGTTACAATGTTCCTAATTTCATTTGAAAGTTCAGACACAGCCTCACTATCCAGATTTTCACAGAGTAAGAAAGATCCGCTGCAGTTCCGGAGGCCGCAGGGACGGCCTCTAGACCCCTATTGTCCGGATTCTCTTACGTGGAAGCTTGAGACGGAGGCCTCTGTTGCAGGTGGGCTGCTCCTTACAGACACACCAAACGCACACACACAAACAGAGCAGCCGCCGTAGCGGAAAACAAAGTGCAAAACCGCAAGCCTTGGACTTCACTGGTGGCGCAGTGGTTAAGAATCCGCCTGCCAATGCAGAGGACATGGGTTCGAGCCTTGGTCCGGGAAGATCCCACATGCCACGGAGCAACTAAGCCCGTGCTCCACAACTACTGAGCCTGTGTGCCACAATTACTGAAGCCCGTGTGCCGAGAGCCTGTGCTCCACAGCAAGAGAAGCCACCGCAATGAGAAGCCCACGCACTGCAGCGAAGAGTAGCCCCCATTCACCACAACTAGAGAAAGCCTGTGCACAGCAACGAAGACCCAACCAGCCATAAATAAATAAAATAAATTTATTAAAAAAAAAAAACTGCAAGCCTTTACCTTTTCAAACACAACAACTCGAGCAGGTCAGGTTACACCCCAACACTAACTCTGCAGGGGCACCCAGAAGAGATTGGTTACCATGGCCACGTAGGAAGCCTCCCGGATAGCTTTCTTAGCTTTCTTCTTACACACACCTACTCACGCGAGCTCCACCCACGCAGGTCCCTAGCTCGGCAATCTGCTAGCCACGCCTGATTGCGTTCTGCGCTCGCCTCTCTGCTCTTGCACCTGCGTACTACGGCGCCTGCCCGTCGCCGCGGCCCGGATCGGGAAGTGTCAAGCGGGAGCTGGGTTCCCCCGCCTTCGCTGCTATCACCGCTGACCCCCGGACCCCAACTCCAGGCCCGGGCCCAGCCGCCATGACGAACGGTGAGAACTAATGCCCAGAGCCGAGGATGGGAGTGCAGTACGAGTGGAAACCTGGCGGGCGGAGCCGGGACTGACGTGGCCGTTCTCCCCGCCCCCTCCCAGCCCAGTCCCCCTTTGGCCTCTCCGTGCCCCAACTCCTGTCCCCTATACTCCTCCGGGGGTTCCCCCGTTCCGTGCCCGTTTAGAACCCCCAGTGCCTCTGGTGCCCACACCCGTAGATCTTGGTTCCCACACTGCGCCCTTCTCCCTTCCTAGAAGTTCGTTCTGACCTTACAAGCCACTTCGCGAGGCCAGTCCCGGTTGAACTATTGCTTTAGCACCAGGAAAAAGAGGATCCTCCTCACAGCCCTCTGTGTTCTCAAACTTTTGGATGGTAGGCTCGTTGGGATGACCGATAAATCACACAGGATTTTAAACCCCATACTTTTGGGGGGGGCGGGGGTGAATGTAGATCCTAAAGAAAAAGTTCTCGTTTGTTAAATGTTAAAATGTCGGGGAGCTTTCTCGTATTTGATTCTAAAGTCTTGCCTGGGCGATCCCATCTGGAGACCGTGGCTAGTGTTGCAGGGGTTGGATTTAGACACTGCCTTTTCTAAAGATAATGTGGCAGTTGCCACCCTGTTTATCTGACCTAATTTTCCAGGCCTCTTCAAACACTTTATAGACATGATTTCTGAATTCCAGGGAAGGGCAGGAAACGATGACTTTGTGGTCTGTAGAGTCGATCTTACAGGAAAAAAGATGACAAGATCTCTTAGGCAGTATGATTTGAAGGGCATAGGACAGCATTTCTCAAAAGTACCTTCTCCATAAGCCTGGTACTAAAGTTTCAAATTTCACCTCCTTGTGACTTCTGGCTTTGCAAAAACTTACTGGAGAAAAGACTAGCACGTATTGTTAATCATAAAACTTGGTGTATGTATTAATTTACTGGACCCTTTCCTGTGTGACATCTAGTTGTGAGATAGTTTTACTGGAGGGAGAGAGGGAGATGGAGTGGCCCAGAACTGGCAGATGCCAGTTGTGTAAAATATCCTTTTGGAGCTTCCTGGGCAGTCAGAGGTCTGAGGTTAGTAGGCACAGTACAAGAAGGGACATCACCCGGAGGAAGAAATAATCTGAACTGAGAAATAAGAGAGCAGTTGGACACATAGTAATTAATAAATAAGTTTTAGTCATCCTTTCCCCTTTTGTGGTCTGATTTTTTTTTCTACTTAGGTGATTCTTTGCACTGACAAGACGTAGCTTGGTTTACAAATATAAGAAATAGAACTAATTGTTCAAAGCTTTTTTCCCCACAATTGTTCCACCTTGTCGAAGCCTCAGATCTTTTTTTGCTTGTTTGTTTTCAAGAATCTGTTAACTCAGGCAGAAATTTGGTTTGTAAGTAGAGTATCATGCGTGAAGTGTAAGATAAGCATAGGAAAATTGTAGTCATATGGATTCTAACTCTTGCAATTTCCATTAAGCTTTACTTTTGCCTTAACATATTCTTCACCAACAGATGCAGATCTGAGAGACTTGGCCAAATATCTACCTCTCCTTTATCACATGAGTGATTTATAGGAAGAACATGTTTCATTCTCTCAGCTCAGGCTCGAAGGATTCTTATGCCTCTCTCAACCTAATGCCAACACTGGCCATTCCTGGTAGGCTGATTCCACATAAAGTGATGCACTCTTCTCAGAATTTATACTTCTTGAAAGGAGAGGGAAGGGGGCAGTGAAATCTTTGTAAGGGGGCTGTCTACAAGTGATTTGGGGGAACAGAAAGGTAACCTTGTTAGTCCCAGGACCTTGGCTTCCTCTTGTCAGGGCTGGCACTGCAGTTGAGATTACCATCTTGATATTTTATCACACTGTGTTCTCCAGGGGGATCACCTGTCCCAAGCTGGATTAGCACCAAAGGTTTTCTTCTCTTTCTGTAACAGTGTACTCCTTGGATGGGATTCTGGTGTTTGGTTTGCTCTTTGTTTGCACCTGTGCCTACTTCAAGAAAGTACCTCGTCTCAAAAGCTGGCTGCTCTCAGAGAAGAAGGGAGTTTGGGGTGTGTTTTACAAAGGTAAGATCATATCTGTTCAGGGAGAGGAGATTGCTATCTCTGGACAGTAAGGTGCTGCAAGGTGGGGGTGGGATAGGCTGGAATTGTATGTGGTTCAACTTTTACATAATTGTTTATTTTAGCTCCAAGGTAATTTTAGTATTCTCCATGGAGTAAAACTATATAAATTAAACAATTTTAGACTGGACTAGAGTTGTTGGAAGGAATATTTTCCCAGTGAAAAGTTTTTTTCTGAACTTCTGGAAAGAATATATTGGAGTCTCTTTTAAGTATTGATTTTATTAACTCAGATGCTTTTTTACTTTTTATTTTGGGCATCTTTGTCTGGAATCCTACTTACCTAGATCTTTTTTCAAAATAAGGCAAAATATAAACTAACAGTGTATTCATCTAGAACCTAGGGCTTAAGGGTAGTATTTAAATACATTCCTGGGTGGGTTCTTGAGACCCTTGATAGGTCTCTTCATCTGTGACTAGAGATTTCAAGTCTTGAAAGTGAGGACTTATATGAAGGGCAGGGTTTGATTTCTTTTCTCGTTTTATTTTTTCCTGCTAGCTGCTGTGATTGGAACTAGGCTGCATGCTGCTGTAGCAATCGCCTGCGTTGTAATGGCCTTCTACGTCCTGTTTATAAAATGAATTCCAAAGCATCCATTTCATCAACTGCCAACCAAGGGGACAAAGGTGAAGAACCTGTCAGGAGCCTGGGCCCAGCGTAGGAGAGTTCAGCTAAAATCATCAAAGTCCCGAGGATGACACCACAGCATCTGCCCCTACCTTATGTGGGGAAAACTCCTCGTGGTTACAAACATTATTTATGCTTCAGGGGACTACAGAAAGCCAGCTTCCTTTGACCTGTGTGTAAATCAGTCCTCAGCAGAGAGCATATAATGTCCAGATGAATTACACCCCTCAGTGCTACGATTACATACCTCCTGCTTAAAAATCTGTCACCTATTTTGTGCTTCAGCCCCTCATCAGGAACTTTTCACACTGAGGCTCATTAGGGGAGGATATAAGCTGTATTCAGACTTCTTGGAAGGAGAGATAATTTTCAAGACTTGACTTTTTTTTTTAGTGTTTGATTTGGATTTGGCAAATTGCAGGGGGCTGGGAGGCTGGGGTGGGGAGGCTGGGTGGGAAATAGGAGTTAAACAATGCCAAGGAATTTTTTGGCTTTGGAAATTTATCTTTCATATACCAGTCTGAGAACATGAGAGAGAGGCATGATCCTCATTGCAAAAAGGGAACAGACGAAATAGCTGTGCTGTGTGCTGGTAGCCAGAGAGTTTTGCCAAGAGAATCTGGGCCTACATAAGATTTGGAAATTGTCTGTGATGAGACCAGAAAGGAGTAACTTAGACAAGAAACAATGTTCTATTCACCAGTATTCCCAAAAGGAAACTTCACCCCCTCAAATGGTATACTGAAACTGTTGCTATTTTCCTGAAGCTTTTTAAATATTTTCTAAATTACTGAGTGCTAAATACTGTTACTCAGTTTTAAATGCCACCACTAGGGGAAAGAGAAACTATTGAAGAAATAATTTGCAGTTGGGGTAGAAGTAAATAAATCTAGTATATTAATTCATATACTAGTAAAGTCATCTAGAATTTATTGTGATGTTAGATGGAAGTTCTGTCATGTTAACCAACATACAGACTTATTCTTTGTTTAAATCCGGGTTATGGCAATTTTCAGTCGATTACTTGTGTTTCTTGGCCCACTTTTAATTTTCTTCATATTGTAGTATTCTTTAGCTGTCTCTTGGAAATTATAAGAACATGAGAAATTTGAATGAGAGAAGTTGATGGCATTCACAGGCATGTTTGGACAGTTCATAGAATCCATGAATAAAATGAGAGTGTTTTCTAAAGTAAAGGAAAGCAGAGGTTTGCAATTGAGATTGATGGGCTTTTCCATGGAGTATGGGAACTCCTGAGCAAATCATTTTAGATGACTCTACATTTGAAGGGAAGACTTCTCCATTCCCTCCTCCTTTTATCTGCAAAAGGATCAACTGTTGCATTTATGAAGCCTAGAACTTCTCTATTAAAAAAAGAAAAAGAATTAGTCTAAAATTAAATTATTGTAAAGATCAAGCAGAGACATAGGTCTACCAGTGGAATTATTCACTAAAGTAAAACTTGACTGTGGACAAGTTGGCTGTGGTTGACCCCAGTGTGGCAGTAAATTGTCTTTTGTCTTATTCCAAAAGAACAAAAGCTGCTAGGAAGTTTAGGTTCTGAAACATTCAGTTTATTGCTTTGACGGTACCTAGAAGTATAGAAAGTCATCAAGTAAACACTACATGTCTAATCATCTCAGTTATGGCTGTTATCTCTTCAGGAATTGGTCCACAGGGTAAATTTCAATGATTGATATATTTTTCATTGTCATTTCTGAGGATCTTTCATACAAGAGAAAGGAAAGCTAGTGGAACAGAAAGAAGAGTTACACCTTGTGGGTGTGAGTTTGGAACCTGCTGGCCAACGGGAATGTCACTCTGGAAGTACAGGTTCAGCATGTTTTGCACTTGTTATTTTGTAGCTTTAATGACTTTTGTTTCCTAATAGGGCTAATATCTCTAAGCTTGGTGTTTAGAGCTTCTTCATATTTTAAACTAGTCCCATTTCACAGTTCAGATCAATTTTTACAGCCTCCTGGGTGGGTCATCTTGACCTAAGCTCTTGAACTGTTATATTTTGAGATGTTTTCATACCAGAATGTACCAAAAAGTACACAGAGTGAAGGTAATTTACAGCAAGAAACATACACAGCTTATTTCATTTCTTGACTTTAGATGAGCAGAAACTTGTTTAATTCATTACTTTGGTTGATGTGTCATATATTTTTGACTGAAAATTGTAGGAAGTTGTTCCTCTAAGGGAGTCTTTTAGGGGTGGAAGAAGGGGAATAGCAGTATTGCCTCAGATTTAAACTGGCGTCACCATAAACCCTGTATGCCAGGGTAGAATGAAGTCAGCTTTTTATAGTTGAAATAAGACTTTTTATTCACCATTGTCTGCACAAATCCTTGAAAATAAAGTTTCTTTCCCTCCTGTTTTTGTCCATTTTGTCACATGCATGCTGAATTATTGAACTTTGTTCAATATTCCCCTGGGTTCTGCCCATAGTATACCTTTTTAGTTTATATTAGTGAATATCATCAATCCTGTTAACCCCTTGTGATGGTCACTGAATGTATGATATATGTATGATATAGTTCAGAATCTATGAGGGTATAGCTTTCTCCTTTGAGGGAACTAATTATATATATATATATATATATATATATATATGTATACACACACACACATTTTGAGGTGTATTAAACAATGTAGATAACATTCTCCAATACATTTTACCTACTACTGCTATTAAAAGTATCAACTGCCATTACCAGCCATAAACTTCTTCAGTGAAATGAGGTTATCAGGTTACCCAGCCACATACCTAGAAAATCCTTGGGCTTCTGGTGCATACAATGGACACTTTTCCCCAATTTGTTTATTCCAAGTACATGGTGGGACTGGCACAAGTACAAATGATAACTTAACAAAATTCTGATTTGTCTTTCCCCCTCACATATGTATTTCTTGAAAAAGGAAAAAGGAACTGAGACATTCAAATTGTGCTTTGTGATGTGAAAGGAGCTAATTCTAACTTACATAATTGTTCCTTTTTTTTTTCTTACACTCATTCTTGAAAGATTTATTTTAGCAGATATGAAAGTAAATGAAGATTCAGCAATATAACTGCCACAGCAAGTTCTGGGTAGCAAGAGGGCTCTGTGGGGACAGGGCTATGTCTTCCTACCTTTACTTATTATACTACTACCTAGTGATATTAGGTAGTATATTAGTAGTATATATAGTTACTATATTCTAACTACCTAGTCCTTGGACTTAAGTAATCTATTCTTACCTTTCCCTTTGGTAAAATGATGTTTGCCTTCTCCCATGGGAGAAGGAGCTCCTAGGGAAGCTGATGTTGGTAATGACCAGAATTTGCCTTCTCCCTGGGAAAGAAATCATTCACCTAGAGGTCTCCTGAGATTGAATCATCTTATATCCAGAACTTGGATCAAAGATCAAAGAAAAACTACAGATATGGATATAAATGTGTAGCTGCACAGAGATCCAAGGACAATCACGATTCAGTATTGGGGGAATTTGTCCCGCCTTTACCTGGGCCCTTGGTTCCCCTCCGAGCCACGTGGGGGCGGGCAAGTGCGCACTCGGCGAGGGCCTGTGCTCGGTTGTTCCTCCCAGAACTCTCCGGGGCGGAGGAGGGGCGGAGGGCTTTAAAGGAGCTTGCGCACTTCCGCCCTTTCACCGGAGGGAGAGCGGCGTGGGGTGAGGCTGGTTAGAGCCGTGGCAAGGTGTGTGAAAGGCGCCTGCGGGCTGAGTGTGTGAGTGGACGCGCGAATGTGTGAGTGCGCGCGTGGTGCGTGCAAGGCGAGTGCGTGCGCCCGCCCCCGTGCCCCTCCCCCGGCCTACACCTTGATCTTATTTGATCGGGTTGTGACTCCAGCCCCGCCGGACCAACCCGAAATGAAAAGCTCCCCTCCTGCGAAGCCCCTTCCTCGGGGCGCTGTGCAGCGAGGCCCCTTGGGCGGTGGCAACGCCGCGGTCCCGGAGGTCCCGGAGCTGGTCCTACGAGGCCCGGCGCTCAGAAGTGATGAATTGATCAGATAGACGAGGCTGGGCTTGTCCTGGGCCACTGATTATCGAGGCGATTCTGATCTGAGCCCGGGCCCAGGGCACGGCCGCCCGTGGCGTTGAGGCTAACGTGTCAACGGTCGGCTGCGGGCCCCGGGCGCTGGCGGACGGAGGTTGAATGAGCCGTCGCCTCGCCCGCGGGAGCGGGAGCTGAAAGGATATGGAGGCCTTGTTCCCCGCTGCAGTTTTCTTCTGTAGCCGCCTCCCTTTTTTTTCTTTAGACCCGACTTGTCATGATGACTCTTGTATGGTACCAACACTGGTGTCCCCGGTCTAAAGGCACTATACAGCGCCTGCCGCAAAGGGATATATGTATATATGCATGTCTGTATACGTGTATATATCTGTAAGAGAGCTTGGAGACCTTATAAGAATTCAGATTCCAGGGACCCGCACCGGATTTAGTGAATTTGAATTAGCGAGGGGGGGTGGTATCTAGGAATCTATATTATTTAAAGCCTCCATGCATGGATCGCAGTAATAAATTTTTTGATGTTCAGTATCAACCCACATGAGGTGATTATCCCAGAGAGTCACCCCCTCTGCCACTTTCAGCTATTCTAAATAAAGAGAACTGAAAATATTGCCACTTGGCAGCAAACACTATGAGCCGATTGGAGTATCTCGGTGGAAGAGGGACTGTAATAGTTTGGTGGTATTGACCGTGCACCTGAGTACCAGGAAGAAGCCCTTTCATATCTGGTTTATTCAACAATGCATATGCTGTCCAATCTTAGAAATGGGAACTTAGTGTACAATATTCTGAAAGGTCTGCCATTTTCTTGCTCATTTTAACAGCAGGCTCCTGTGAGTGGCTTGTAATTTTAGAAACCACATTACTGTATCAGTTTTTAGGTACCTTCAGACCCTAGGATCAGATTGTTGAACGCTGTTTCCAAGGATAGGGGGCTATATATCACAGCACGAATCAAGGCAAAGAAAAGAGAATTGACTCCCAGGCAAGGAGACAGTAGCAGAGTTAAGAGAATGAACAATGGCAAGGAGCCAGGGAGATGGAGCCCTCATGGAAAAGTAGAGCTCAGCAGATGACTAAATCCAGCAGGTCTGAAATGTGTTAAGCGTGACCTCAGCATAAGTGTTAATGATGAACATGAGAGCTACTAAAATTAGTGTTTGTAAGCTCAAGAGAATGGACCATGTCCATTCTTGCTTTCCCAACACTTAGCTCAGTACCTGACACATAAAAGTTTGCAAGAGGGGCTTCCCTGGTGGCGCAGTGGTTGAGAGTCCGCCTGCCGATGCAGGGGATACGGGTTCGTGCCGCAGTCTGGGAGGATCCCACGTGCCGCGGAGCGGCTGGGCCCCGTGAGCCATGGCCGCTGAGCCTGCGCGTCGTCCGGAGCCTGTGCTCCGCAACGGGGGGGGCCACAACAGTGAGAGGCCCATATACCGCCAAAAAAAAAAAAAAAAAGTTTGCTAGAAATGTTGAATGGATATGGTTGGAATGACTCCAGTTCACAAAACGTGAATACCTGTCTCCTGCCAAAAACAGTGCTGTTCTGTCCTAAATCCATATCTTTTCAGCAAGATGACTTTCCAAGTTGCAAATATGCCCAACAGGATTAGTTTCTAGAAGTTGAGAAACTTCCATATTTTAAGAGTAGTCATGTGGCAACTGGTAGTCCATGGGTAACAGATACTCCAGGCTTCAACTTACACAAATCTATTTCATGGAGGTGGGCGGCAGGATGTTCCACTATGATTAATTAGTCCAGGGGCCCGTCAACACTTAGGTGGAGAAGAAGCCACCATCATTCTTTCGGGAAAACCCTCCGTTGCTGGCTGCAGCGTGAGGGGACACTGTGGAGAAAAGAGAAGAGAGAGTGGGCTGTGAATTTCAGATCCTTTGCCTTTTCTGGGAACTTGTCGCCCATACGTTTATGGGGACAATGGAGACGGTTCTAACAGCTGAGGAAACTGGCATATAGAGGACTGATGGGAGGTAGCTATAGGTCTTTCACTCCCCGGTTTCTGCCCTTTGCTGAAAATTTGTGTCCGCTAGACCTAAGGCTGAGGTAGTGGCTCTGAAAAACTGAATTCATTTCCTAGCTCTACAGTCAGCATGTACCCTGGTTTTAGTCTGATATGTGCCAGACTCTCAGTTATCCCTGATGTTCCCTAATAGCCAATCACCTCAACTCCTTGATTCCTGTGACCATTTAGAAAAACTTGCACCACCCATCTGCCTCCCACCCCTCAGTCTTCTGACCCTTACCTATGGATCCCTGGATGCTGTGAATAGACTCCTTCTTAGGGTTGATCCAGTGTCTGATGTTAGCTCGGGAAGTGATGGCGGGTGGCTGGGGAGGGGATAAAAATTCTCCAGAGAATTGGATCTTGATTCTAGAAGATGGTGTGGGGAAGAGCATGGGAGAGTGAAATCAATCAGGAGAAGAAAGGTAAGGAGGGAAAGA